TGACTTCCTTGACTGTATCTACAGTTTACCTCTACCGTAGTGTGGCATATCTTAAAATTCAATTGAACGAGTTGAGTCTAACCCCGCTTTCGCTTTTAGAAAAAATCTATTTTGAAAGAAATTAAGATGATACGACGCTTGCGACAGATTTGTAATAAGGTTTTTTTGCAAAAGTTATGAGCGGTATTGCAGCTGCAAGCAATAGTGATCCTAAGTTTTTAGGTGGAAGAGATGAAATGCTCAGAGAGATCATCCTTGGACAACTTAATTGGGCCACGACTTATCGACAAAGCATTGCCGTCGTTTGTCGCGCAAGTACGAAATTATCCCTCCCTATAGTCATAGTAGAAGCATTGATCAATATTTTCAGATGGTTTATAACAATACTGATGTAGAGACATGCTTGAAAGTTTGCATAGGCAATATTACTGGTATGGAAGGAGTTTTCGAAGAGATAGAAGAGACATCTACAGAATCTGCATATATTCAAGGAGCTACTGCACGTCGGTTGTTATTTTTCTTTTTCTTCCGGGACAAAAGCTTTTGAATATTTCAAAAACATTTACTTGATTCTAATTTAGACTGCAAATTGCAATCTGTGGGCAAACCTGTGTTCCATTCGCATGCCACCACCTACTACGGCAGCTGGATGAGGGACGCTTATCCTAGAACTGGCGATGTAATAAAGCATAACTTATTGCTGCACTTCGTTTTTGCTCATCTATGCCTTCAGGATATGCTGAAACGATATCTGATCAATCATTTCCAAGGAATCGAGATAGTTGAATATCGCACAGAAGCGGACTTACGACGCGAGCACATTAATAACGTGTGAGATGATGTCACTTTCGAGACAGCCTCTCTATTTGAAAAATTATTTGCTGGGTTCTGTTGCATTTCGTGACGACTCTTTATTAATCAAGATTTTCCTTAAAGCTATCGCCTTCCGCACGTATTTGATGGCACCAATCATGTACTTTTCAATGGATCATTATTCTTCCATAGAGCGGGTTTCCCTCGAATAGGCAAGTTTGACCTAAGCAGCGGTCATTATGATGAAATCGAAATCGAAGGCGCTGCTCATCAAGGAAATAATGTAAGTTACAAGATGTATGCATGTTTATGCTTTCAATGATTGTCAGTATTGTAAATGATAAAAGTACAAGATGAAACTGTTTTGTTCTACATTTTAGTCAGAATTTTCAGTACCTTTTCAACAACTCTATGAATTACTTCGATCTTGCTATCGACGAAAATGCACTTTGGGTTATGTACCACTACGAAGCGGAGAAGTTTCTTAGCGTCGCCAAGGTCAGATATACAGGTTTTTATTGATGTCCTACAAAATGAAAAAAGTTGAAGCAACCGTGTAGTTTCCAACTATCACATTCTGTTACTGTAGTAAGCTGTTGTAAAAACAATGTTCCACAAACTTATCTCAAGAAAGCAGCAAGCAAACATATTCTATTGAACTCAATCACTTTTCAAATCTTTGATATCAGAAGACGATTATAGCTGTTTTGTCCACAAGAAAAGCGTGCCTGTAAGCATTCCCTTATGCAAAATTGTTTTTTGTTTCTGCTCAACGAAAAAAAAAATGAAAAATG